CCTCGGCCTGCCGTGGGTCTGGTGGCGGAGGCGGCGCGTTGTGCGGGGCGAGCGAGAAGGGAACGGGTCTGGGGGTTTTGTTTTCTTTCTGTTTTTGTCTCTTACCCTGGCCACCTTAGAGCCCGCACAGGTGACATTGAGAATAAAATGAAATCTCCGACTGCTGGATCAGCGCGAAGACTTTGTGTCCTGGCAGAGGCTGCCCCTTACCGCTTATTAGCGGTCAGAGCGATAAGGATGCTGACTAGCCACCTGTTAAAAAAAGAAACCTTTCGTGCTCTTGTCTGTCCCCGTGCTTCCACGATTTTCCTTCTCTCGTGAGCGGAGAGCAGCTGCGCGCCGGCTGAGGTCGGGGTGGGCAGGGCAGACTCCGTATTAGATGAGTTTCAGAAATGCTTGGTAGCACTTAGCGTGCTCCTCTTTTGGGTAGAGACGTGTGACATCTCAGGGGCAGTGAGAAGGGACTTTTCCCACAGCTCTCCGTAAAGGAAGGCAGTTTGTTTTCTGGGTTCGCTGCATAAATGTGGCATTGAGATACTTGTCTAAATTTTTACGTAGGTGCAGGACTGTCGCTGCAGTTTCCTCAGTCAGCGTTGCAATCTTCACACCAGTAGCTAGGCAGAACGAAAAAGAACGGAAATGCATAACACTTATTTAAAAGATAGACTGGAAGATGTTGTATTTGTTTGAGAAGCTTTTAATCTGTTTGTCTTGTGAAAATGGATTTAGGCTTTGATTTGTGTTTTGAGGTTTGCGAGTTTTTTTTTTTTTGTCGTCTGCTCTTAACATGCTTGTGAATCCTTCGGTACTTTTTATCTGACACCTAGTTCATCTTAGTTTTTTCTACCGCTATTTCTTTCACGCCCTGGCCCGTGGTCAGAAAATACTGGAAAACGGGCTGTTTGCATGCTTGCTTTAATTTTATAAGGAGCGGATTGGGTTTAAATGCTGGGTGACTTTCTTACAGAAGATGCCTTGGCCGCTTGACAGTCCTTAGTTCGAGACTCCGTAATGCGCATGCGTCGCTTTGAACAGGAGACTTTCCAAATGTAGCAGGGAGCAAATCTGTTGAGCTTTCTGATGCTGCGCGTTCAGACAGAAGAGTGAGAATTGTGCCTGTCCTTTATTCTGCCGTACAGAACAGGAACTTGATGGCCTTCTTGCCCACTTCCAACTTAGTTTTGGGGGGCGTTCAGAATTGCTGTTGCTGGTTAGACAGATGTGGAGGTCAGCAGTGAGTGAGAAGCGCTTTCCATGGCTTGCCAAGCGTACAGGTTAATACTGGAAGTTTAAAAATTTTTAACTCTTTTTACAAATGGCATGGGGTCTCCTTTGCAGTCCTCATCTGTGATGCTGTACTCAGACTCTCCCCGTTACTGGACTTTGGCCAGATCCTCAGCGCTGCTGTAATCCCCTGCTGAAAGAGGTTGGTAGGAGGTGGCTAGGGCAATCTGCGGTTTGCAGTATCGCTTCTGCATTCAGAAAGTACCCCGTTCTTTGTTCCTCTCTCGCCCTTGATCTTGTGTATCTGTGTATATATGTACACACACATGATGTTTATTTACATCTCCCGTCTTCCTCCTGTTCCAGGATTTCAGATGCATGCCAGGTTCCCGCTGAATGCCAGAGGCAGCGATC